AAAAAAAAAAAAAAAAAAAAACAAAACAAAACAAAACAAAACAAAACAAAACAAAACAAAACAAAACAAAACAAAAAAAAACAAAACTACATATAATCTGTGTACTATATTAGTATATTTATTATTTACCATGTAAGGAACCAAATCCTCCAGCATTCTCACCGGTGACCAATGTTCGGACTCCGGAGGAAGTTGGCTAAAAAAAATACTTGACTTCATCAGAATTTCAGCTCCTAATTTGGGCAGTAGGACTTCAATGCACTTGCCAAGTGAAACCATACCCTAGAAGCTAGCGATCCTTCATATGATAATTTCAAAACTAGAGGTCCTTCATACCAAAGACCATCGATATCTGCAGATGCGGCTGGCAAGATACCAAAGACCATTGGTAGAATTTGGTAACGTTGAATGATTGCGGACTATCTGCAGATGAGGCTGGCCAAGAAAAACGTTGAATGATTGCGGACTATCTGCAGATGAGGCTGGCCAAGAAAACATACTTTATCCGAAATTCAGCTGCAGCTAACTTAGAGGAGGTACTATACTACTATGATTCATCAGCTTATGGAAAAAGAAAGCAAACTTAGGAGTACGATTCATCAGCCTATGGAAAAAGAAAGCAAACTTACGAGTATGATTCATCAGCCTATGGAAAAAGAAAGTAAACTTAGGCGATGGAGGGACAAAAAAAAGAGATTCATCAGCCTATGGGAAAAAGAAAGCAAATCCAGAAGCTACATATTTTCATGCCTGAGACCGTGTGCGTTTTCTTGAATGATTTTGGATCCCTTCTTTGACTCTCTTTTTGAACAAATTTGATAGGAACGATGAGGAAAATGTGGACATCGACAGGATGGGAGCCTAATCCAGCACAGGATGAGGCCCCCCCCTGAAACCCATAACCATGTGATAACATCATAACAGCCTTATCCTGCAACTCAGGCTGTATTTGTGCACCTTCTGCAATCCTCGCCCGGTAGATCAAACCTAAAGTGAGCGATTGCATTCGAAATGACCTTGATGGAGCTATCAGACTTAAATACTTGTACTTAGATGGGGAGGTTGGATATGAGCTGTTGAGACCTACATGAAATTGGGGTTGTGTGTGAGGGGGGGGGGCACCCACCGTAGAGAAGCACACTTGTACAGAGGATGAGCTAGTGAGAAGAGTATGTGATTGCTCCCCCCCAATGAAATGGAAATACAATCCTAGAAAAAAAGAAGCACCCTGACCATGAATGCCAACCACAGAGGAGGGCATCATCGGCAGTCAAACTCCTTAGTCTGAGAGAGGTATGGTGCTGTAGCATGATTCTCAAATCCTGATTGGTAGTTCGGCAAACCTGATCACTTCTAATATCTCGGCTTCGAGTGCTGAGAACGCGATTTCTGAGTTGACCGTTATGGGCCAGGAAGTTTCTCGTAAGGCCGGCTAGACTGGCTAAATCAGACTGCTTAAGCTGGCAGTACTCCAGCAGCTAGGATGATAACTATTTCACAGCCACAGTTGAAATACAATGGCCAAGTCTGTAAGCCTAAGGTAACTGAGACGCCTTAATTACGCTGGCTACAAGGTTGAGTAAGCAACGAAAGGTAAGATGGGCAAGGATATGGCTAAGCTCAGGTAAATGAGATGTGGAAGCTATAGCGAGCATAGATAGCACAGCTAAAAGGTGATACGACTATGCCAGCTCTCAACTTGCTAAAGCTATGGAAGCCGAGACAATTGACAGAGGAGCATAGGAGGTATAGTGGCAGAAGCATCGCCACTGAGCAGGCTACGCCGTCACCGATGCAATATACGTGAGTTATGAAGACCACGCAAGATGAGCAGTCATGATGGTGATAGCATCGTAGTCGGGGCAGAAGTACAGTGAGCGAGTCTCAGTATCTGCACCGGCTCAACTTTCCTGGGTTACGTGGGCGTTGAGCAGGATGATATGCCATGGTGAATGTTGTGCAGCGTGTACGAATGACAACACACCTACTGCATTAGCAAGGACGGTGTTGCAGATGGGTTCGTGTAAAGAGGATGGGTGATGCGACAATGGGCCATAAATTTCACTTTGGGCTATTGAAGGCTGGAAATGCGCATTGTGGTATGAGGTTGTGGGTTCAAAACTCCGCTGCCTCGCGCACGTACACTGGAAGTCGCTTTCATAGTGCCCAGCCGTTTGCGCACTCCCCTTGGGCTGACGCATGGTATTTATTACAGACACTGCCTGCGCACCACCCAAGGGGTTAGGTCCATGATTGTGGTATGCTGGTAGCGGGCTTTAGGGGGAGGACTGTTTGAGTGGTTGGCCTTTAGGGGTCTGATGAGTGTCGAGTGTCTGTGTGTGGGCTGTGTGTTGAGTATGGTCCGATGATCTCTAGGTCTGTCTCGTGTACTCATCATGGGCGGGGGTAGAGGGG